ACACCTGTCTGTGGAATGCTTGAGGTCGAGGTGGGGTACAGTTATTTTTAGATATACTGTCCTCTCTCCCTCCCCTCTCCCACCCTTACCCTCTTCTCTGTTTACAGAAGGAAACTAGGGAGTGTGACGCCTTCCAGTCAGTAGCAAGTTCACCTTCAAGAGTGCAGGGCTGAGATCACGGAGGCAGGTGTGGCCAGCACCGCCTGGGACCTGATCTTCTGCCCTCTAGGCAGGGGAGCGGTGGTCTTAACATGGGCCTGATGAGGCACAGCTGGGGGCTCCTGAGGCTGCCATCTGCCCGGCTTCATGACCTAGGGAGTTAGATTGAGGGATAGTCAAGCTGGTCCCTTGGTCACACAGCCTGGCTCCTGACTCAGTGGTGACGAGAGCAGAGATATGGGGCATTTCCAGGCCAGCCCAGGGTGACATGGGTACACCTGCTGGTTTTCTCAAATGGGTCATCATTCGGCAAGAAGCATCTATTGTAATGACCCATACACCTACCCTTCCCCAAATTTTCTTCAAGGAGGTTGTGCTGGGGTGAATAATTGTCCCCCAAGATTCATGTCCCTCAGACATGATGAGGTTATTAGTTCAGTTAAACTGAGGCAGAGCCTAATCCGGTGACTGGCATCCTTATAAGAGAAGACGGAGACACTCGCACAGGGGAGATGGCCACAAAACATGATGGAGGCAGAGGGGAGACGGCCACGTGATGTGATGGAGGCAGAGGGGAGATGGCCACGAGATGTGATGGAGGCAGAGGGGAGATGGCCATGTGACATGGTGGGGGCACAGGGGAGATGGCCACGTGACGTGATGGAGGCAGAGGGGAGACAGCCACACAGTGTGATGGAGGCAGAGGGGAGATGGCCACGCGACATGATGGAGGCAGAGGGGAGATGGCCACAAGACATGATAAAGGCAGAGGGGAGACAGCCACGTGACATGATGGAGGCACAGGGGAGATGGCCACACGATGTGATGGAGGCACAGGGGAGACAGCCACAGATGTGATGGAGGCAGAGGGGAGACGGCCACATAACATGATGGAGGCGGAGGGGAGATGGCCACGTGACGTGATGGAGGCAGAGGGGAGACGGCCACGTGACATGGTGGAGGCATGGGGAGATGGCCACTTGGCATGATGGAGGCAGAGGGGAGATGGCTACACAATATGATGGAGGCAGAGGGGAGATGGTCTGTTTTCCCACCCACCTGCAGGATCCTTAATCCACCCCTCATTTTTAGGCCACCTGAGTAATTATTCTGTTCTGTTGTGGGCTTTGCCTCCACCATTAGACCATCAACATTAAAAGAGTTAATTGACCACAAGTGTCCAAAAAAGTGCCCAACATCCTGGACAGAGCGAGCTCACGTTCATGGACTTCCGACTGTAGGATAAGGAGGGTCAGAGCCGCCGATCAGAACACAGCTGCCCTGCTTCCACGTCCAGGAAATGAGCATAAACACAGAGGGCACTTTGGGTACAAAGCCTCTCATCTGGGCGTTACCTGTAGCAGGAGTGACCAAGAATAACCATGTCCGAGTTAGTTCAGATACGATGGCAGTCAATGCAATATCACGTGGCCTTTAGAAAAGTGCGAATGAGGCCGGGCGCAGGGCTCACACCTGTAATCCCAGCACTTTGAGGGGCCAAGGCGGGCAGATCACAAGGTCAGGAGTTCGAGACCAGCCTGACCAACATGCTCAAACACCATCTCTACTAAAAATACAAAAAATTTAGCCAGGTGTGGTAGTGGGTGCCTGTAATCCCACCTACTCGGGAGGCTGAGGCAGGAGAATCACTTGAACCCAGGAGGTGGAGGTTGCAGTGAGCTGAGATCGTGCCACTGCACTCCAGCCTGGGTGACAGAACAGACTCCGTCTCAAAAAAAAAAAAAAAAGAAAAAGAAAGCAGAGCAGCAAGGCAGAGAGGATGTCGTGCGTGCTCAGCCCAGGTGATTGCCCTTCTTTTGCTTTGGGGCCAGGCAGAACAGAGCTGAAATGCCAGCTTTGTGGCTTATTGTGTGGCCCAGAAAACTGTGACCAGGGAGTTAGCATTCTCCAGTTTCCCTAGATCACCCGACCTGCCCGTGACTCAGTGACCACGGGCACACGTGTTCATCTCCTGGAACCTCAGCGTGCTCACAGGTGAGGTGGGCAGTGCTTTGGACTTCACGGGGTCTGGCACATGCACAGGGCCTGGCACTCCAGTGACCAACTTCTTGCTCGGTCACCGACTAGAGAACCCACAGCCTTTTCAGCCCAGACTTAGTAGGTAAATCAGACTTCATAAGCATCCAGCTTCCTGCCCTCTCTCAGCCTAGTTGTTCTAAGTCTGACCAGAGTTAGCTTTATTCACAGCACGAGGCATAAATGATATGGAGGTAACCAATTTTAGGGGACCCAAAAAGCTAGGGACTCCTACTTGGGTAGCTTAGAAAGGGAACCTCTCTTGGAGATCCTGACTTTGCTGCCCCAAATCCAGTGGTCTATTCAAGCCCAGTCCTCGAAGAGCTCATGATCTTATCCTTGCTCCAGTTCACTCACACCCCACATCCACACCAAGCTCTTTCTGCCTCCCATGGAATATAACTTACACCTCACTTCAGATTTATGCCCCCGGCAAAGCCAGCAGTATGTGGGCCTGGGAGGTTTTTCAGCCACATGGAACTAGAGAAGCCATTCATTTTGTCCCCCCATTCACCCCACTCTGTCCCCATCAGATACCTTGGGAAGGGAGAAGGAAGGACAAATGGGTGTCCTGTGAGCCAACCCAGAGGAAGGAGGAATCATTTATCACAGAGACCGAGACGCATCCTCACTCTGGAAAATGGGCAAGGTGAGGGGAGCTGGAAAGCAGAAGGGAAACGGGCGTGGGCAGGGAAGAGGTGAACAGGAGTGCACACGCCCAGATCTCCAGGACCATGACATGCTCCTAATCGGGATCCTGAAAACTCAGAGGGGATGCAGGAAAGACCTGGGCCTGGAAATTCACTTCCCGACGCCTCCTCTTCCCTGGCTTGCCTCGTTGGTGTCTCCCTTCAGGGACGATGCCGGGGGGCGGGACGGGGGCGGAAGGAGGAACCACATTCCTCCACAGGTGTCCTAGCACTCCCAAAGCACCTCAGCACCTGTAGACTCATTCCCTCCCTACAACCTTTCAGGTAGGCACTATTATCCCCATTTCACAGATGAACGAGGAAAACTCAGCTCGAAGAGGCTGTGACTTTGTGACTTGACTCAGTGGCAGAGCTGGGATCGAGCCCAGGTTTTGTAACGCCCTCTTGGAGTCTCCGGAGGCCGCTCTGCGCCTCTGGCCTTCCTGGCCCTGGAAAGTGCTCAGCTGCCTGTGTTTGGTCAATACAATGCCCAGCTCCCAGTTTGGTCTCACCTGGAATGCTCCTTTCTCCCCTATAGATGGAAAAGTGTCGTTTGAAAGCGTCACCAAACAAAACCTATGGAAAGGTAATGGGGGACCATGAGCGAGAGCTGACAGAAAAATGATCACGAGCTGGGTGTGGTGGCTTACACCTGTAATCCCAGCACTTTGGGAGGGAGGTGGGCAGATTGCGAGGTCAAGGAGTTCGAGACCAGTCTGGTCAACATGGTGAAAATACAAAAAAAATTAGCCAGGCGCAGTGGCAGGTGCCTGTAAATCCCAGCTACTCGGGAAGCTGAGGCAGGGGAATGGCTTGGACTCCAGAGGCAGAGGTTGTGGTGAGCCAAGGTTGTGCCATTGCACTCCAGCCTCAGCGACAGAGCAAGACTATGTCTCCAAAACAAACCAGGAGCCACGCTGGCCTGGGTCTGCAGACTCCCTTCGGCAGTGCCCTCCTGCTGCCCTGTTCAGGTGCCCACAGGATGCGCCACAGCCCTCTTTACCTTTACAACTTTCTTGCTCCCAGGAAAGAACAGGGTCAGCTCATCCATCAAGAGCTGGAGGGACTGATGGGGACCATGCTCCTCTCCACAGTGTTGGCATTGTTACGGCCCAGGCTTTGACCTTGGGAAGTGGTCACAGGACCTCCACGACCCTTGGAGATGTCACTACAGTGTCCGCTGTGGACTCTCGCTGGACGAAGCTGGCTCCTCCTGGGAATGCAGAAACCCCGAGTGCTCATCCTGGGCTCCATGGTGTCTGGGAGCCTAAGGTCCCTGCTCTGCGACGAGTCACTCCACAGACACCCCACATTCAGGAATCAAGTCTTGAGGAACCAGAAGCAGAAATCACACTGGCAAAGAGGGGTACAGGGGTGTCCTGTTTCCCTTTCAGAGAGCTACACCAACGGCCCTCTTTGCCTTTACGACCCTGCTTGGGGTCCCTGCCCCTCCTTGCCTGTCCTGTGACAGGTCAAATCCGGGTGAGCGGAGCCACTGGGTCTCCAGGAGCAACTCCACTTCCTCATAGGTGACAGCTGCTCCCTCCGCCCACTGCCCAGGCCAGATCCCTCTGGCTACTCTCCCAGAGGGTCCCAGGCTCCCTGCACCCCGGCTTTGGCTCCCTGTCTTGGAAAGAACTCTGCCATTTGGTTGGGGTCGACCATCTGTCTGCACTGAGCAGACTTCTAGGCACACCACCCCCTTTGGTGCATTTCCGTTCCTGCCCCTCACCGGCATCGTCCCGGCTTCCCTGTTCCCTGGAGTCTCCTTAAATTTTACTCTTTCCCCCATTCATACACCCTCAAGGTTGCTCCCTCTAGGGCCCTTTCTTCTCCATTCTCCCCAGCAGCCCAAATGTCTGGTGGGACGGGCAGCCCCTGGGAGGAAGGAGAGGGCCCAAAAATCCAACTAGGAGGGTGTGCCCTGTTCCCGTTCCCCCACGTTTCCTCCTGTCCCTCCCCCACTTGGCTCAGGCTGATGAGGAGCAGAGAAATGGGTGTATTGGTGTTTTCTTTCCTGGTGGGGGAGTGGGGTGGGGCTGAGGAAAGAAAAGGGTGATTGGCGTGGGGCCCCGCCCTCTTTTGTCCTCTTCCCGGGTCCTCTGGCCCCTTCAGGGAAATGCACCTGGTTCTGGCCAGCCGCCGGAGAAGACAGACTCAGTTCTGCTCCTCACACCACAGCTCCTAGGCCATGGGGCTTCCCCAGGGAGCCGGAGGGACTTTTGTTGGAACCAAGAGGGGGTCCTGCTGGAGGAGGGTCCCCTGGGTGTCCCTGAGCTGCCTGTGTCTCTGCCTCCTTCCACACATGGTCCTGGGTAAGTGACGGGGAGGCTGGCTGCTGGGACCCTGTGGGGGAGCTGGGGGCTGTCAGAGACAGAGGCCGGGAGAGAGAGAAGAGCGGAAAGGGAGACAGAGAAGAGGAAGAGAAGAGAGAGAGAGATGAATGGGACACGATGGGGAGAAGGGGGAGAGAGACCCAGAGAGGGAGAGAAGAGGAAGAGAGCAGGGAGAGAGAACGAAGAGGGGAGGCTTGGCGCCGGGGCACAAGCCTTTAATCCCAGCACTTCAGGAGGCCAAGGCGGGTGGATCACTTGAGGCCAGGAGTTCAAGACAAGCCTGACCAACATGGTGAAACCCCATCGCTACTAAAAATACAAACATTAGCCAGGTGTGGTGGCGCACACCTGTAGTCCCAGCTACTCAGGAGGCTGAGGCAGAGAATTGCTTGAACCTGGGAGGGAGAGGTTGCGGTGAGCCGAGATGGAGCCACTGCACTCCAGCCTGGTGGCAGAGCAAGACTCCGTCTCAAACAAACAAACAGAGTGAGACTCCATCTCAAATAAATCAATTCAAATAAAAAAGAAGAGGGTGGGGAAGAGGAGGTGTGAATTGGCAGGTACAGGACAAGGTGTGAGCAGAAAGATGAGAATGCTTGAAAGACAGAAGAGAGGACAGAGCCAGAGAGAAGCCCGGCCAGGTCTGGAAGGGTCCCTGGGGGGAGCCCAGGCTTCCTCGTGGAGAGAAAGACAGGCAGAGCTGTAGCAAGAGGAAAAACGGTGCCAAGGAAAACAGGAAAGCTGGTGATGGACCTGGGAGAAAATCTCAGGTAAAGCCGCAGCGCGAGAGGGTGAGGCAAGGGAGAGACAGACGTACCGAAGCACAGAGGAGGTGACCAGGAGATGGCAGAACCGCAGGGAGCGGAGGAGAGAGGCCGCGGCCTGGAGGGCGGTGAGGAGGAGGCAGGGCTGGGAGGCCTGGGGGAGGCTGGCCACAGGCTTCTCACCTCTGAGCCTGGGGTTAGAGCCTCTGCTGGGGTCAGGCCTTGTGTGGGGCTCATAGCCCTGGCCTTGGCCTCGGCCCCCTCCATGCCTTCCATGCAGAGCCAGGGACGGGGGATGCAGGGCCTGCGGGGGACGTTTCCCTCTGGCGCCCCCCAGACCTCCTCCCAGCACTTCTCAGGCTGTCCCTCTGGCTTCAGGATCAAGCTTCCTGCTGTATTTCTGGGTGTCAGAGGCTTCGGGGGAGTGTGTGGGGTCCAGGAGAGCGTGAGGAGTCAGGAGTTAAGTCTCAGCGGCTGGGAAGCCTTTCGCTGAAGGAAAGCAGTTCTTGGGAGCATCTTTGCGGAGTTCCTTGGGAGTGAGTCAGAAGGCGAATGCCCTGTAACGGCCGCAAACGCTGCTGAAACGGACATTCCACCTTGAGGTTTTCCAGGACTCGGCTGAGCTCAAAGGGAACTACCACCACCTCCCTACCCTCCAGCACCCCCACCCCACCCCAGCCACACGCCCCGAGTGAATGCTCACCACATGCTGAGGAGGTGGAGGCCAGAAGGAGCCACCACATGCCCTTGCCCTGCAGTGGATTCCTCCATGGGAATCACGGCTCCCAGAGCAAGGCTGGGGGTTGGGGCACCAGGCAGGCGGCTTGGATTTAGGAGCCCCAGTGCCAAGTCTTTGCCATGAACTGTTCTGGCCCCTGTGACCAGGCCCTGCCCTGAGACTCCCCAGGCCCCCGGTCCCCTGTGCAAAAAGCAGTGGTGAGTCAGGCAAGGTGCCTCACACCTGTGATCCCAGCACTTTGAGAGGCCAAGGCAGCCAGATCCCGATGTCAGGAGTTCAAGACCAGCCTGACCAACAAGGTGAAAACCCGTCTCTACTAAAAATACTAAAAAATTAGCTGGGTGTGGTGGCAGGCACCTGTAATCCCAGCTACTCCGGAAGCTGAGTTAGGAGAATCTCTTGAACCTGGGAGGTGGAGGTTGCAGTGAGCCGCGATCGCACCACTGCACTCCAGCCTGGATGACAGAATGGGATTCCGTCTCCAAAAAAAAAAAAAAGGAAAAGCAGTGGTGAATGGGTTGACCTCCTGACCCCTACGTTCTTGAGTTTCAGAATCTGTGATTTTAAGCTGACTCCAAATGTGTTAGGTGCCAGCTGGACACTCAGCCCCATGTGAGGGTCATCAAACTCCACAGGGGCCAGGCAGCAGGGTCTGTCACGAGAAGCCCAGAGGGACAAGTCCTGGGGTAGGGGTAAGACCTGGAGAAGGAGTGAAGGACTCTAAATGTGGAAGGGCATCTCCGTGACAACCCGAAGAAGCTATAGGCACACCCTGGAGTGCGGAGCCCTTCGAGTTAAGGGGACCAAGTGGAGCTGGTCCAGGAGCAGAGGTGGTGTGGCTGGAAGGTGGCATCTACACATCTGACGGGGCATTACCAGAGCATTGGCAGGAAAAGCAGTCACCAAGGGCCAACAGGCAGCCTCCACGCCTCAGGGCAGCTTCTGGGGATGGGCAGCCACCAGCCCCTGCACTTTTGACTCCCTGAGGGGCTGGCAGATGGTCTCCCTGTATTTGTCTCTTTGCAGACTTGCTGGCAGGCTGGGTCACACCGAAGCCCAAGGTCACAGGGAAAGCCCAGGGTGTCCACAGAGCAGCCGCCACAATGAGGGCTTCCTTAAGGAACAGCCCTGGCTCGCAAGGGTTAAAGGATTAGGCGCAGCGGGACAGAGGTGGGCTGGACAAGGACAGACGGAACTTGGTGTCTACTGGTTGCTGGAGGCAGGAATGACTCAGAAGGAAGCTGGGTCGTGATTCCACGCCCCAGGGAAAGGCAGCTGGGTCGAAATAAGCCTTGGTCTCCAATACTATCAGTGGCCCTGTAACCCAGGTGCCACCACCCCTGCAGCCACGGGGAGGTGACAGGCTGGAGCAGGTGCAGGGCAGGGGAGGAGACGCTGGTCACAGCACACCTTGAGGGGAAGGGTCTCTACGGGCTCCTCCTCTGAGAACCCCCAGTCTGTCTGCCAGTCTGGGAGAGGCCACCTCAACTTGCCACCTAGGACACCAAAACTGTCCACAGACCCTTCTGCCCCTCCGGGAAGCCCGCTGTGCTCCAGGACACTGAGAGACAAGAGGTCCTGCTAAGAAAATCAGCCAAATTCCGCCGAGGACCAGCAAGGTGCAAAGTGAGGAGCAGGAGCTGAAACTCAGAGGCCCAGTGTCAGCGGCGCCCTCAGCAGCCGGGGAACCCAGCAGCGGACATCCCTCAGGCTCTTCGTCAGCAATCTCAGCCCAAAAGGAAGGGTGTCATGAGAATGAACGAGGCAGCATCTGGTGTGAAGTAGAAAAGCCATAGGGGGCCAGGCGCGGGGGCTCACGCCTGTAATCTCAGCACTTTGGGAGGCCGAGGCAGGCAAATCACCTGAGGTCAGGAGTTTGAGGCTAGCCTGGCCAATGTGGTGAAACCCGTCTTACTAAAAACACAAAAAAGCTGGGTGTAGTGGCAGGTGCCTGTAATCCCAGCTACTCAGGAGGTTGAGGCAGTAGAAGCACTTGAACCCAGGAGGCAGCGGTTTCGGCCAGCAGAGATGGTGCCACTGCACTCCAGCCTGGGATGAGAGTTAGGAAGGAAGGAAGGAAGGAAAGAAAGGAAAAGAAAAGAAAAGGAAAGAGAAAAGCCAAGGCATACCATAGAGACCTGTTTGAGAGAGAGGCCTGGGCAGATGGGGGAAGGAGAGTGGTGGAACCCTGCTTGGCGTGGGCACTGTGTGGGTGCCGGGTACATTCCTTCATCTAAAGATTCTTGTGCCTCTAAAAAGCCACCCCATGCCTGCTGTGGGTTTGTAAGGGCTGGCTTGGTGTATTCAGAATGTGGCTCACTGCATGAACTGACCCCCGAATGCCAATCTTGGCCATAGAGCAGGGGCTCGCTGCGGCTGATGGCACACTTCACCACTCCCCGCCTGCCAGTCCCTCCATGCCCTTGGTTTCTGGGCTCAGCTTCGGAGACAGAGGCTGGCCTGGCAATGTTTGGTGTGCAAGTGTCTTCATTGCCGAGGCAGGACAAGAAGTGGCTGGCCTTTTACATGTTCAAACGAGTGGTTTCGCCGCTGCGTCTGTTTTCTGGCATCATGGTGCTGTTAAGTGCTTAAAATACACACAGTGTGGCTCCCAGAGCCACTTCTCTGAAGGCCAGGACAGAGACCCGACAGCCTGTCTCTCCCCCTTGTTTCAACCTTCTACCTCAAACATACATCCTTCTATTAGGCTGAGCTCACGCCCCAGCACGTTCCGAGGAAGTCAAAGTGAACTGAATCTGTTGGCACTTAATAGGGGTTTAGTTGTTGTTGTTGCTTGTTTTGGGGTTTGTATGTGTGATTGTTTTTTGAGACAGAGTCTCACTCTGTTGCCCAGGCTGGAGTACAGTGGCGTGATCTCGGCTCACTGCAGCCTCCGCCTCCCGGGTTCACGTGACGCTCCTGCCTCGGTCTCCCGAGTAGCTGGGGTTACAGGCACCCACCACCATGCCTGGCTAATTTTTGTATTGTTGGTAGAGATGGGGTTTCACCATGTTGGTCAGGCTGGTCTCAAACTCCTGGCCTCAAGTGATCTGCCCACCTCAGTTCCCAGAGAGCTGGAATGACAGGCGTGGGCCATGGCATCCGGCCCTGCTCCATAGAGGTTTAAATACTTTTCCACCCCTTCCCTTGAGACTCTGAAGAGGCCTCAGGAACAGGCATTTGTGTTGTACGTGAGGCCCTGCCGCGGCAGCCCTGCTCAGAGGAAGGGCACTGGCCTGTGTTGCAGGCAGCTCCGTCCCCACGTGCGCACATTTAAGGACCGAGGACACATCTCCTCTCTGTGTAGATAACCCGACCCTGCCCAGGTTGCACCGCAGGCAGCTCCGTCCCCACGTGTGCACATTTAAGGACCGAGGACACATCTCCTCTCTGTGTAGATAACCCGACCCTGCCCAGGTTGCACCGCAGGCAGCTCCGTCCCCACGTGCGCACATTTAAGGACCGAGGACACATCT